CCCCAAAACCCCAAAACCCCAAAACCCCAAAACCCCAAAACCCCAGGCTTATACCTGATTGATAAGATTAGAAATTTGAAAAGAAAATCAAATAGAAAATATTTAATTTTCAAATATTGTAAATAAATGAACAACTATCACATTTATGAGGAAGTAGGACGCGGAAAATACTCTGTCGTCTACAAGGGAAGAATCAAGAAGAGCATAAAATACGTAGCGGTTAAGTCTGTCGAGCGATCTAGGAGGAAAAAACTTATGAATGAAGTCAGAATATTCCATGACTTAGCACATCGCAACATATTAAAGTTTTACAATTGGTACGAAACAAGGAATCATCTTTGGATAATATTTGAGTACTGTGCTGGTGGTGATTTATTTCAGTTAGTAGAATAAGATAAAAAGTTACCAGAGGAGACAGTTAGAAAATTTGGCATTGAATTAGTTGAAGGACTATCATATCTCCACGAAAACGCAATTATTTACTCTGATTTAAAGCCTTCAAATATTCTTCTCAATGAATATGGGGTACTTAAACTTAGCGATTTCGGTCTTTCTAAGAAAATATCTGAATTAACTCAACCTGACAATGATCCTTCGAAACCAAAAGCTGGCACTCCTTATTACATGGCTCCGGAGTTATACTAAGATAATGGCATACATAGTTTTTATTCAGATTTCTGGTCCTTGGGTTGCTTATTATTTGAAATGGCAACTGGCAAGCCACCTTTTTGCACAAATTCTTTGAAAGATCTGATTGCAATGATCATTCAAGCTGATTTTCCAAGAGTTGAAGGCTTTTCAGTCGAATTCAATGACTTATTAAGGCGACTACTTGAAAAGGATCCTATTAAGAGAATTAATTGGGAAGAACTCAAATAGCACGCATTTTGGCAAACAGGGGGTAAATAATATGACTTCATAAGAAGAGTTTATCCCGCATAACCTTAATTTGATGTCTATCTTCGATAGAGAAATATCGTTCCAGAGCATTTTTATTCTTAGAGAGCTAATCCTCTTGCAAAATTATTTTAAGTTCCAGACATTGGCTCTAATAAAGTTGATATTTTAAGATTATCTCACAATGTAAGAAGAAATCTGAAAAGAGAGGAAGAAGAGGAATCTACAGATAAATATGGATCAAATAATGCAGCAATGCAGTAAGAATTCTAAAATTTTGCAAAGAATCCCCCAAATAATAATTCTGGCATGGCAATTGCTGGAGCAGCTGCATTGATGATGGTTGGAAATGGCAACTAAATCAATAATCCAAGTTAAAATTAGAATGAAATCAACCTTCATATAGGAGAAGATGACATAAATTTGAATAATCGCAGAATAGTTCTTAATTTCGGAGAAAAAGGAGATGATACTGACAGTGATAACTACAGATAGGGGAATAATACAGATAGCGGGAGTAACACTCCTAGCAGTTAAATTAACTAAAATCCAGATTAAGATCCTTATGAGAAATAGATGTTGAGAGGAGACAAATAAATTAATCAACAGCCATTAATTAATAATATCTTTTAGAATCATAGAGGAAGTGATTCAAGCAATCATCCTAAAAGTCATAGTGCTCAAAATATGGCTTATGAGATCGAACAATAGCAGCCAGAGGATCATGCTTAGATTATTAAGTAGTAAATGTATCCTCCTTCTAATAAGAAAAACTCTGCTGGAAATACACATACAAAGCAGCCTCCTCAAAAATAACATTCAGCAAATATAACTTTGTCTTCTCCTACACATAATAACATACTAACTGATAATTCAACTCTAGGTAATATTTCAAGTTTTTCAGGCAAGTAGCCATAAGCATAAAGGGATCTTAGCAAGATTTTGAATCAATAAGCTGCTCAATCATAGCAACAATAGTAATTCATTTTGCAATAATAGCAGTAACTTCAAGATTATAACACTTATAATACTTAGGCTACTAATAATAGTGCCTTGAATATGATACCAAATATTCCACCATAAGTCAATCAAAATATACCAAATCCAAATTAATAAATGAAAGTCCCTTTGAAGACAATTGATCAATTATTGATTCATAATTCTGACTCTGCTGTAAAGCCAATTATTGGAAATAAAGAAATCGAAAAGTAAGTAGAAGCTGTTTATGATGTGAATCACCTATCATTTACACCATGGACTCCTGAGCAAATATTGCAAAGAATTGAAACAGCTCAAATTGAAAATCACTTAAATGAACTCTATAACGCAATTGGATCTAATAATATTGTCAATTAGAAAGTTCATGCACTTCTCTATTTTGAATCAATAATTGTTAATAGTTAAATCAGCAACAGATTAATTAATAGTGCTTTCATGAACTTATTGGTCAAAATGATGAAGACAATTAAAACTCCCCAGATTAGAATTCGACTCTGCTCAGTCATAGGACTCCTTATTAGACATTCAACAGTTATAGAGAATGATCTTGCTCAGAGTGATATCTGCAATTAATTGATTGAAATAATGAAGGATAAGAACGAAAAAGTTAGAAAGAAGGCAATAGCTGCTCTTGGTGAATATATGTTCTACGCAGCTACTCAGTTAGATGACGAACAGGCTGATTCGTGTTGGGAAATATCAGATGATGCTATTGCGGTAATAATTAGATCTCTGAGAGAATAAGAAGATGAAACTGTCAGATTTTATGCTTGCAAGACTCTAGAAAATATTACTGCTTAAAGTAATTCAGCTGGGGATAGATTTGCAACAGGGGAAGCAGTAAATTTCTTACTCCAAATGTTCCTTGCAGCCCCTCAAATGATTAATGACAATTTAAGGACTTCAGCTGCTGTTGCTCTGAGCCATATTTGCAAGCTTTAACCTAGATTATTTGCTTCAATATTCAACAAAGTCTCTTCCAAAATGTTTTGTTATACTCTAATTGAAGGCAACTCTAGAGTTTAATAGGCATTCATCACTATGCTAAATTAGGCTCTCTCATAAGGAACATATCCTAAGATTAACGAAGTACTGCTAAATGAAGAAAATTTCCTTCGTTCACTAATTAGGTTAATTGAACATCAATCAATCGTAATAAGAGGGAAAGTTTTGCTAACATTCTTACTTTTATTCAGGATGGACTTTAGATGGATGGCAATGTTTGATCCAGAGGTAAAGTTCTTCCACATTATTGATAGATTATCAAGAGATCACTATAAATATGTTCAATGCTGTCTATAATGTCTTATTGTCGGTATCGATGAGATTATTCCAAAAATATTCTAGACAATATCTGAAGAACTCTCCATTCTTTTAAATGGAGGTAGAAGTGGAAGTTAATCAGAGTTTGATAAGAAAATAAGTAGATCAGAGTTTGAACTATTATAAGGAAATCTAGTTTATATTGCTATCATTCTTGATCTTTAGCAAGCCCAAATAGTCAAGAACAGAATCCTTAATGAAAAGTTCATCAGAAATATTGCCATTTTTATCGATCATTGTGAGATTCATTCATTCTAAGGGGCTGAAGAATTCTTGCATGCTCTCCTTCTTATCAATGAAAATCTTTCCTCAAATTAAAAGATTCTTTTGTAAATGAATGAACCGATCTTGAATTATATGCTGAAGGTATTACTTTCAAAAATAAACAGCAAAAGTGCGGATATAAGATTTCTCTCATTAAAGATATTCACTGATATCATAATCTAATATCTAAATGATGAAAGCATTTATGATGCCAAAGGAATAGTTAGTGACCAAATGATATCTGAAAATGGGAATAATGTAAAAGCTACCACAAAATATATCAATGATCTAATGCTCAAAGAACTTTTCCCACTATTCAAGTTAATCCTATAAGATACAGATCCTGTTCCATTATTTGGGCTAAAACTATTATCAGCAATAGTAGAGAGAAATTCAGACTTTGTATAGCTCTTCAAAAGATTTGATCTTATCAGATATATTTCAGAAAACTATATGGTCAATCATTCCAGGCTAAACAGACATACAATCAACATTTTAAAATCAATACTTGAATCTAAAGAACTTACTTTCACAGAATTAGCTTAGTACAGAATAATTGACAAAACTCATGAAATCATAAAGAATATGCTTAAAAACAAGCAAGATTGGTGCACAGAGATTCTACTCGATATTATTCATGAAATTCTAACTCAATTCAATGATGTGGTTAAAGCCAAAGAGGGAGAAATCTCAAAGTTGATAGACGAAATATTCAATAACTTTGATATCTGCGTCTAGTTACTCTCAACTCAATTCGAAATTCAAATAATTGAAAAGGCTTCATAGTGTCTAATTCAAATGCTTCAGCTATATGCCATGTGCTAATAGAAAAAGAGAGAAATATACTTTGTTGAGGGACATATGAATTATCTTATTAGCGCTCTAGAAACAGATAAAAAGATCATTCACAAGAGAGTGCTAAAATGTGTTTATTGGGCCCTGATCTAAAGTGAGTACCAACTTAAACTACCCAAAGATAGGAAGTTGGCTTTAGATAAAATTATAGGAAAACTTATGCTAAGTGATGATAGAAGTATTAATAACACGAGCAAAGAAATTTAAAAAATTCTAACGGACCAGTAGTTAGGAGGAATAGAAGGTCAAGGAAATATGAGTCAATAAATGGTTATGGGATCTGGTGGAGGCTAATAAGTGAACTTTTACCACAATATGAAGCAATAATGACAGTTGAAAAAATTCTCATAAGTTTGTACAAACATTACCATTATCATTTTGCTTATGCATTTAGGTTCCTTATAATCGATATATATTTGTTCCAATTAATTTTTCAATTTTCTGATCTCTCTACTCTTTTAGTTAGGCGGGGTTTTGGGGTTTTGGGGTTTTGGGG